GTCAGCTCGCGGCTTACAAAACAGGTATGTCACGGGTACACTGTCAAAAAGGCATGTTGTTGTTTTCCTTCATTGGGAATTGATTTCCATAGCTAGCTCGCTTGTATAGAGAGCAAGGAGTATATGCATGGTTCTGGAGAGCTGAAAAACACTGTATAGTCTCGACGTGCAGTTACTGTCAAACCTAGATACAGGCTTAGCGTGACATTTAATTGTAAGTGGTGGTGTTCAATGAATTTTAGAGGAGTGAATTGCTTACATCTTAACTCCACTAGGGATAAAATTAACTCTGATAAAGTCTCACAGTGCTACACACTAACACTTACTGATGAAGTTTCGAACGCAATTTATTGCTCATAATCATATCAAGGTACTCACACAACTTCTAACCTTCGTTTATATACATGAGTAAATATTGACTAGACATACGAATAAAATCGGTAAAAGTTCAATAGACATCAGATTCGCTCCTGTTAAATATGAGACAATGCTGCAGGAAAGGTGTGTGGCGACTCCCAGATTAATGATAGTGAATGAGTGGGTTGACCGCTTCACTTATTTGCGAAGTTGCACCAACCCCAATGGACCGACTGCTGATGAACCTCAACATGGATACAAAATTCTTGTGATGCGTCTGATAACTTCACCTCTGGCGTAGATGTGGTATGTGACTATCGATCAAAGGATAGGTGTTCAGCACACCATTTCGTTCAGTCCCTTCATGGCTGCGAAAGGTGGTCGGTAAAAGCATGATACATGGATTGGGTGGTTATCTTTAACTACAGGTGTTTGAATTGTGTCTCCCATGTTTTGTTATTATTTAATATTTGCTTTATGAATTTTTAACAGAAATGGGGGCAGAAGATATGATTGAGAAATCTCGGGTGTTGACGACAGCCATTCCACATCAAAAAGACATGACTGAACAACCTCAAACGATACTTGCTTCACATAATGTTTTAGTCTATTTAAATCCTTTTAATTCTTTAGACGAGGCTGTGGTTAGTGTCAAAAATCCATTTGCTACAATGACACAAAACTCCTGTGCCTATAGGGTAACCTGTTTTGAATGTGAAGCTTGCTATATAGAGGAAAGAAATAGAAAGACAAAGGTCAGAGTGGATGAACACAGACTGTGCACAAAACGTCTATGTAGGAAGGAAGTCGAATTGAAGAGTCTGGACGAAAGACCAGCTATAGAAATGCATGCTTTAGAAGTGGTCATAAGATCGATTCTGATAATATCGAAATACTCGGATAAGGCTTCAATTCACATTGAGAAAGGCTGACGTCTGAAACCCTGCATAATTTAACCACATCGAATGCAATAAATGGAGGAAACGAATAGACTGATAAACTGTCTGGCGAACTCCGATTAAGCGAAACCGAAGAAAAGTAATATCTTACTGCTTCTGATTTCTGGACAATTATCATGATTTTCACGTGAGATTACGTGTTTTTCAGGCAGCAAGTAATGTGTGGGCAATTCCTCTGACCAAGCTGTGGCTTACACAGCGAAACGTTCATAAAATCTTGTCTTGGTTATCTCAACACACTGGGATTATTTTAAGTGATTTCATAATGATTCAATCTGACTCGACGCTGAAATTATTCCAGGGAATTCGCAAATTCTACTAGCTGGATTTTTAATATATGTGTCAGTTCCTTTCCTGTATCCTGCCTGTCGTTTTTTCTATGTCTTGAAAGCGGTTACACAGACAGACTATTTAGCTGACTGTTCCGACTGACTCTAATGTTCAAAAAGAACAAACAAACTGTAAGTTCACCATACACTGAATTATGTGTAATTTATATAATAACTTATCCATGCCTGTACAATTGGTATGTTCCTGCATAAACAGGAATAAATATATATTAATTATAATCTGTAGTAATCTATGTAAGTTGTATTTGTTAATTCTTTACCATTTCTTTATTCACTATTGAACTTTGGCTCAATCAATGTATTACTAATCTGTTAAATGAATAACAATTACTTGCTTACAGTCGAATATCACTTTCGGCATATGCTTTATTCATGTACCCATTGGTGTCAAGGCGCGCTCCTTCAGTACGACGTGCTTTTACCTCTCTAACCAGAAAATTCCCATTTCGTGAATTACCTGCTTGTGAAACCTGATCTTCTTAGCCGGTGAGTTAAATTCAACCGTTAACTATATATTTATATCAAATCTCTGTGTGGTAAGTCCAGCTGTCTTGAACTTCTGGCAAAGCTTCAAGTGCTACTTCTGAGGCAGCCTCTTCCCCACACGTTCAGATAAGCGAGACTTGTTGGTCTATCGCGTGATTGCTGTGAAGCCGACTAACCAGAAAGTACTAGTTAAAGTCAAGAACCTTTCCTTTTACCTGTCTTGTAATTTAACAGTCTTATTCTTGTTCCTTTGGGTAGATACTGTTGCTCTCTCATTCTTATATAGCATAAATTATAGTGATTCTTGATATGGCTGTTGAAAGTAGCCTGGAAAAACGCACCAAAACACCATATTCTGTAGTCACAAGGGCTTCAGCCAGAGGAGGCAATAACCCAGGACATTTACCCCATCCCGCATACCGATTCTAAAGACCCGTGTACAACTCGCCTGTTCTGTTACCACGCCTACACTGCCACAGTCTTGCACCGGAACAGCACAAACAATACCAGGTGGACATGATACTACACCTGTATCCATTGGAAGCCAGTGCGTGAAACAGCAAAACGAAAAAGAAACTCTCAAGACATCGTAAGAACCCGAAAGCGACATCTAGAAAAAGAGAAGAATAACGGGCCTGCAGTGTTGTCGCTTCTAAAACTGATCCAGCATTTTATTTTGTAAATGGTGGTTACACTGCCATTGTGACAAAGGAGTGTCAAAACATATCATGAGTTCCTCATCTCAGCCGCACTGAATGTGTGAACAACGGAAGGAACAGGGAGTCCATGTATTCCACGATAGATTTGAAGAATTGTGTAACTTCGGAATTACCTGTCACACTTTCTCTTCCGTAAAGAGCAAATATTGTACACGTGACTCTCATCCATCCGTTACAACCCACTGAAAGGGATCAAATCTTCAAACTTTATACTTCTTTGATTAAGTTACCCATTAATATTCTTCTTGTAAGTGGATTCAATGCTTAGCACATCTGTGAAGTTTACACACATGTTAACTTGCTCCATTAAGCTAAAAAATAGGTTGTCTATCAGATTTTATTATTGCTACTTCAAAGCCCGCCTCAGTAACGTACAACACATATTAGCCGCAACGTTTACGCAAAAGAAAATCTACCGATCACAGTGGGCGATAGTGACCTCCAAGTGCTCAGCCTCTCCGTAAGCCATTTGTACCGCTATCCTCTATACACAAAACATACGTCAGACCACAGCCCGAAGTGCATAATATCGTTGCACCCCTACTGCTTAGAAGAGACACCAGCCTCTTGGAAAGAGTCGAAAGACGGGCGACACAAGGAGTGGTTTGTCTCTGAAATAAAACGTCTGATGAAAGGCTAAAGAAATTAGGCCTATTCACACTCAACAACCGTCGGCCTAAGGAGGATTTGATTGCTATCTACACGGCCGCAAATGACCAGAATCACTCAAACAATGGTGTTCTGCCATTGAGTAGGTAAAGGCTTCCTCGCGAAAACCCCAGAAGGATAGCTCACCAGAGGGCAAGGACCCGGATGCGCTCCCACTTCTTTTCACTGCGGGTTTGTCGTCCCTGGAACTTCTAACCTGCAGATGTAGCTATGGAACCGTCTGTGTACATCTTTAAGCGAAGGCTGAACAATCATGCAGCGATACATCAATAGTGTCGAAATAGCCTATACACTCAAAAACCCATATACCATTCGGGGGTAGACAACTGAATTCGTCGTTTTACTTCTTCACATTCCCTCCTGTCTTACTCTACTGACAACTGCAACTACTGCACAAACACTTATTACTATTACTAACATTATACACATATATATTTATATATGTATACATATATATATTTCAACTTCAAATTTAGTTGTTTGGCTGATTTTACGTTTTCTTTATTTCTTTTTCTGTCTTTTGGTCTGAATAACCTACACTGATTATAGCCGTGATTATTATTATCTCTTTGCTTTTGACAACGATACTGGAGGACCGAATGATGTAGGGATCAACTCCACTCACGGTAGTAACAAAGTCTTAACACACCGCATACTACAAAAAACATAAAATTAATCCCAGCACTACTCAAGAAAGACTATATAATACTACGAAGACTATTGAAGGCTGTAAGTAGGGTCAGTGCTATCCCTTTGACTCAACTATCCGACAATGTTGTCAATAGGCACATGAATTCTTGTAAACACTTAGCTAAAGTTATTTTGTCTGATAGTGAACATCCTCTTTATTCACATTTGTTTCCTTGTATCTCTTCGGGTAAGACCAGAAGAAATTTCATAAACATTTATGCTCGTACTACAAAATATAAAAATTCGACCGTACCATATTTGGCACGTGTATTGTGTAAAGAGACGAATATCAGAAATGAACTTTTACAACTTTTAAATCATTAAATAAACTATAAAATGTAATGATGCATATTATTGCATGTGTGATTTGTTATATTATTTATTTATTATTTCACTATGACCTAGAAATGGTGTGATTTTGTTGGGGTTTTTATTTTTTCCTATTAATTATCAATATTTTTAACATTTCATACATTTATATAATTATAAAAAGAGCTAAACCAATGCAATATGTAAAATGAAACGCTGAAAATTCCATGCTGTAAATTGTTATTGTTGTGGAATAAAGTGATTATTATTATTACTCCTTTTGGAGTCAACCAAAGCCACGACTGTGGAGTGACGGGACGAAGTTTGCCAAAGATCAGTAACCTTTACCTCACAGTGAATAAGCGAGCACAAAGAAATCAAATCCGTTTATACTGGCCCGTAGAAAGGATATTGGTTATCGAATATTGGACTATTGTTTCTTCACATCCCATTGTTCTGTGCCAGGCATTCGCGCGCTGTTTGAATTTAAGGTGGGTGTCCGTCTAGAGTTTTGTGTTTGTTCTACTGACGAACATTGACTTTGCTTAGTGGCGGCATTGAGCCACAGCCACCACATAATTTGAGGTTCTTAAATACTATTTCATGTTTAATATAGTCCTGTATTACAGAGAAATCCAGTGTTTTCGGTTATAAAGAGCGTCACAGTTATAAGTAGTGACACTTCTGTGGAATTTGCAATCACTGTAATTCATTTATATTGTTTCGTTTATGTCCATAATAAAGGTCAAGTTGATTTACTTTTCTCATCTAGACATAGTCCCAAGCACGATCTCAACATTGTTATGTGTCTTTCACTGTGCAACATGTTTGCTTTTCATGCACTAATTTCATGTCATTTCATTTTTCACTCTAGTATTTCATGAAATGATGGATGTCAGAGAATCCCGGATGTGCTCCAAGTGTCGTGTGTCTTTTAACACTGACGATGAGTTTTGGCTTCACCTTCTAAATACGGATTGTAATGATTCAAAAAGTGCCACTGAGGTTCAGAACTTGTTGTCCGATAGTACAAATTCAAACGATGAATCACAATTCGCATGTACATCAGGTAGTAGCTCTCGTGTTGACGGTGTTTTTAGTGGTCTTTGCGACGAGAATTTTCAGGCAAAAGAAGATTTTCAAATGAAGTCCACTTCGCCAGAACACCAGTGTGAAATAGATTTGTCTCCTGGAGCAATTGAAAGAAATACAGATTCACCTGCCTTGAGTACCCAGTCATCCTTATTCTGTGATGTCTGTCAAGTACCGTTTACATCGATTAAAAATAAAGAAGAACATGAAAATGGTAAAATGCATAAAAAGCAAATGGCGCTGAAGTCAAAATCCAGTGGTCAATTGGATATCAGTCAGTCATTGAGCATTACTTCTGACATAGCAGAAAGTTTTTCAAAGATTCACATTCAGTGGCCACCAGCAACACAAAGTTCTGTGAGCAACAATTCAACTGCCAACAAAACTGTTGATACCCACCGTCAACCCACACTGCGTAGTGGTGATGAAGAGATCATCCGTCTCCTACGTCGTTTATGCTTGACGCGAACATTATCCCTTCTTCAGAATGTGAATGAAAGCTTCCTTATTAGTTCAAGAAGTGATTCACCTGAAACAGAAATGACATCCAGTACTAATGAACGGGATTTAATCGCAATGGTGAGAACTATCTGCCGTGAGGAGTTACGAGAAATCTTACCAACAGATTTACAACATCCTTCTCACCAGTCCAGAAATCCCAACACGTAGTCTGATTGAAGTAAACCTCCTTCAATTATGTAAATAACAATTTGACTTATTTTGATTTTCTTACATATTTTAAAAGAGTGATGATTATTTTTGAACTATAACATTTTCAAATACCGATTGAAATTTCTAGATATCATTTCTGTTTTGTGGGCTAAAGATAGAGTGTTATTGCTTCACCTATGATTGTGATGCGTTCTAGGCGTTGGGAGTGAAATACAAGAGATATTTAAGTTTTAGTCTGTCGTAAGTGTAATTAGTTTTCTTCTGAAGTGAGTGTAAAATTTACTGATCTGTTTGACAACTAAATTAAGTAGTCCACCGCTTCTTTCTTGTTGCTGTCACCGTCTCACAGATTTACAGTTTTACTCCAAACGATGGAATGATCACTTGATATCGCGTTAGCATAATTTGCAGTATATTTCGTGTTGTCGTGTAAACACTTCAGTTGTAACTTTGATGCTTTTATAATCATTGTAGTTTCAAACACTCAGAGGTTTCTCAGGACCTGTGAAATAAAAATAGAATCGCTTGACACAGCTAATTTGGTCTGACTAGCCTTGTGAAAAATTATCACGGGACTAGACTGTAAGAAATTAATTTGTATCGGTAGATATCATTGGTTTATTACTTTTGTAGTAAATTATTGGTGAAAATATCTACAAACGAGGTTTGGTGAAGTCCTATACAGGAATTGCATAATAGTTTTGCGAGAAGACGGATTTGATGATATGTTTATTATGCATCTTGTCCAACCGAAGTTGATGGTATTACGTGAAATAAGTTAGAAATACCGTTATTTATACGAATTGTGTACACTAATTTTTCCTGTTGTAAGCGTTTTGATAGCGAATAGGTTGGAAAAGTCGGACAACAGACTATGAGATAGATCCAGAGGTTAATTGCTTTTATGGACAACAGAGTGAGGCATTGATAAGAAAAGATGGAAGGTTAACTGAGAATGTGTCAGTCTTTGACACCATCCGGTAGTTCGTTCTGAAATGACTTAAGGTATGCGATTCATTTTGATTGTGTTTGGCTCTACGCATTCGTAGGCTAGTTGATATGCGATGAAGACTGATGCAAAGGTGCATCTTCGGCTTGTGATCATTACTTTGCTAGGTTGTGCTCAAATGGCTTGGGGAAATATCCAATGTAGTCTCTAGACATTGCTTATACGTGTTATGTAAGATCAATATTCTTAGGATTAAAATGTTGGTAAGGCTGCACGAAGTGTTGAGACTACTTCTTTGAGGAGAACAAGTAGTTGTGCAGGATGTTGTAAGCATGATGGAGAAGATTCATAGCTCAGGTGAATGATATTGATTTAGTTGCGAAGATGTCACTAGATCTGTAGACCTCTTTAAATTGTAGTATGCTGTGGAGATGTTGTCTGGAAAGACAGTGAGAGTTTCGCAACTAATCAATCCAGCTGAGAGAAGACGACTGCACGAAGAGTTGCAAGTGTTTCGAATAGATTGGGGAATCTGGAGTCAATTTTAAATCTCCTCGGATCGATTTTCATGTTGACCATGTCATGTGTTTTCACCATCTGATCGATTGAATAAGTGAGTTCTATTCATACACTTCTACTGAACTTCGTGTAAATATACATGTGCTCTTCGCGCTGTTATCAGTAAGTGATCACCACTCAATCTCATTGAGCAGAAATATTAGATAGTGTAGTGTATTTTGATTGTGAACTCAGTTCTGTGTGTGAAAATCGTTGTTGGTGTTTAGGTAAATCAATGTTAAACTAACTCTGAAATTTTTATTCCCTTACACTAATGACTATGGATTTAATCCTGTGTCTGAAACAAGGAGGAATCAGCTTTTTCCGGATAGTTGACGACGTCGTGTCAAGTAGAATTCAGGACAGTCAGCTCTAATCGACACCCAATTCGAAAGAGGCAGAAATAAATTCAGTCAAACAGTTATACAAGTAGACAGATATGTAGTGTCTGGGTTCATTGTTAAATGAGCCGGTACCTGCAATATCCTATATGTACTGTAGCAGCCTAAATCTGGGTAGCTTACATAAGATATAATGTCTATGCTTGAGTATATATCATGACAAAGCAGAAATAATTAACATACTACCTGATATTAGAATAATAATGCTCAAACACAACACGAAAATATGCAGCGTAAATGAAAGAAACATATCGAGACGAAAATATTTGTAGAGTGAGTAAGAGGTGGAACTTAACAGTATCCAAGTCTTTGTAATAATTGGTGTTGGCAAACAATGATTTAGTGAAGGTTTGTTTTGGTAATTTTGTTGTTCCGCCAAGAACACTAGTGGGATTAACTGCAGTGAAGTCAAAGACAATAATTTCTTTAACTAATGTAGTTATTGTCATCTGTGTATGCAGGAAGAGTAATAAATGTCATTCCTAAGATATCTTCAGATTTCTAGGACAAGTGTCATATCGTCTCCGTCGAATTTATTTGGTGCTGACTCTTGAATAAAGTCTTTCCTTCTCCATCTAATTATATCACTTTACCGTCATTGTCTCACTTCCTGACTCATGTTTGGCCAAATGAACTGATTTTGCACATGAGAACTCAGAATTTATTTAAGGAATAGGTAGGAATGTTCGTGTCGAACACAAAACAGATAAAACTTTCTCTGTGTTCCATTTAGACGTGTTGATCAAATAAACTTTCATGGTATGCATTAGGCTTTGCAAATGTACGCATATGATCCTGAGAGTCATATGATAGTTTTCCTGTCTGCCTCTGTAGTTGAATCCATCCAAATACAGAGTCAATACTTATCCATTAGTCGCTTTCATGTCCTTTCAGATCACACACTTTGTTAGCGATAGGGGCTTAAAATCCTGCTTCGGACGCATGCTTGAAAGTGCCAACCACCTTAAAACTGTGCATCGTTAATGTAGTTAAGGCATGTTGGGTGTTTAGTTACATTTAACTATGAATATGAAAACGGAATTTATTGACTGCACTTGGAGATTCATTTCACGGTTTACTAAATGCGTTTCTTTCTGATATACTTTTGAACATAAACAGTACATCTATAATCGCAATTATAAACACAACTGAAATAGAATTAATTAGATAACCTAAATCTATGTGAAGGTCTCACCAGTGAATACACATAGTTAATGTAGTCCCTGACTGCTTGTTGATGTGAAATTAGCTCCAGGAATCTACAAAAGTCTGTATTCATATTGACCTAGTGGATTGAATTTGACGAGAGGAATAATGGTATTTAGCTTGTCTCACTATGTTGTCCTTAATACAGTATGACAAAATGGTTTGAGTGAAAATAAATAATTGCAAAGTGCGTTTAACAGCAGTATATATCACTTAATATACTCTAACAAAGGATTCCTCGTTTCTTATTCTCAGTACAGGAGACCACTACACCAATGTATAATCTATCAGGTACAAAAGTGAATCCTAATTGCACTGAATAAAATACTCATAGTTGAAATTAATTCCTATATTCTGAATAAAGTTATGAATTGATTGGAAAAATAGATAGGCCAAACATTTTCAAATAGTTGGAAAGGTGTGTAGGTCAGATGGATGATTTTAGTGTCGTTTTGTTCCTTAAGCTGGTTGGCTTGAAAGCAAACCTTTCATTGACATCATCATTGACAACATCTTCAGAGTTTACTCTGAAGGACAATGAAAGCTTTTAATTTAAACCATTCAGGTGCGAGAAAACACACAGAAGTTAACAATAAACGTCAGTCAACTTATTTCAGTCGTATCAGTGAAGCTCCATATCCTATGTACGTTGATTATCTAAAAAAACTAACCAACTTTTTCTACTGCCTGTTAGAATTGGAAAAGGTCCACTCTAGATAAGTTATATACGATGTCGTAAGTGTTTCATGTAGATTCGGAAATCTGGAATCAATTTTCAATCACTTCCAATTGATTTTGTTTGTTAGAAGCAGATTCTGTTGAGCAGTCAACGTAACCTTCATAGTCCGTCAAAGACATAGCAAATTTAGCAATAAAGGCAAGACGTGTGTAAGATGATGAGTAACTAATATATTCTGTAACTCTATAGCGAGTTCAACTCAAATCATGGAAACAAGAGACAAGCAAAGATGCACTATACGAAAACGTGTAGAGATTATAGCTAAAGATTACGTAACCGAATGGGAGACAGACAGTAAAGAAATCTATTCGCCACTTGAAGGAAAAACTGCTGACTGCTGCTTCCTCAGCAGATAGATTGGGTTTCAGGCGTTTGACAGAGATTGCTTCTGAAACTCGAGGAGAATTTATCTATTTTGTCTATTGATAATTTTGAAGGATTTAGTAGTTTTCACCTCATGACCTGTTTTGATGAAATGTCTGGCGATGACACTATTGTAAGCATTTGTTCCCTTGAGACGTAAGCTTTCCGGTACATGTTCAGAAAATCGGAGGCGTGTCTCTCTTTCTGTTCTCCCAGTGTAACTGCCCCCTCGATACATGTAAATTTGTATGCACAGAGTCTGTCGACTTTTAATTGCACAAAAGAGCATGTTGTCTGATAAACGGGAACCAACTTAGCTGCAGGATAGTTCCTGGCTAGTGATGTGTTCAATCTTCTGTTAACTACTCCTGTAATACTATCATCTTCCAAACCGGGTTGAATGATGATAGGCTTTTTTCCCACTGTGATTTGTTTGACATTTGAGCTTTTACATCTTCCGTACTTGCCGATGAACCTCTGAGGATAACCGTTGTTTTTCAACATCTTTTCGAGTATCATAGATTCTTCCTGTAATTTGTCTGTAGAGCACATTCTCCTCACTCTATAAAGCAGAGTTCTGATTAGTGCTCGTTTATGGCTATTTGGAAAATAAACCATGAAAACCTAAGTACTTCCCATAACATGTTGGCTTTCGGAAAATTGATCTCTGCAGTCCAGCATCTTCTAGGTGTTGCATGGCGATGTCAAGGAAAAGAAACTTTCCGTCGTTTTCATGTTCCATAGTAAATTCAATATTTTTATGTGCGTCGATGAATAATCT